ACAGACAGACAGGGCTAGATCGGCTCGTCTCGTCATGCTGATCAAGAATATATATACTTTGTGGGGTCTGCCACGCCTCGTTCTGCATGTTACATTTTTCAGCTCCCGCAAACCTAATATACTTCTGTACATTTCATTTACAGAGTATAAACAGTATAAGTTTTATATTCCAATGATTATTTTTATTTGGAAAAATGTCTTTGGTAGTGTTTTTAATTAAAACAAGCAAGATTTGAAACATCCCGAAAGCGATTTCTGTGGCACTGAGAATTGGTTTTGAGGCGAATCTTGGTCGGAAGACATTTCTGTGGCACCCTGATTATACAGTATTTCTTAATTTTGAGTTGACTATTTATCGATTTTGTAAAACAATTGGATAATATCGGGCTTAAAATTGACGATACTAAAATTAAACGATGCATTACAACTTGTGCGACTCGCTCCCAGCGGACACAACCCGGTCTGGCAGCACCGCATCGTTGAAAACAGACGCTGGTGCAAAATTACAACAACAGCAACGGCACGCCGGTAGTTGAGACAGTCAGCGTCTGCAAATTGCCGCCATTTTGTAAGCATCATGCGCAGTTTTGGTTTTTGCAAATTGAAGCGCACTTCTAGTGCAACGACATTACTGCCGATAATACACGGTATTTTCACTTGCTAAGCGCACTAGGCGCAGATATTATGCCTAAACTTACTGATGTAGTAACGCAGCCTTTCTCGGCCAATAAATACGACCATTTAAGGCAGCCATTATCAAACGATTCACTGAATCCCCTGATCGCCAACTGCACCGGGCAACATCAGAGCTCGAGCTGGGAGATAAAAAACCATCGCAACTGCTATGTCAAATAACAATGCTTGTAGGCGAACATGGTTGTAGTGATCTCATACGTGTCTGATTTCAACCTACAACGAAAGTTCAACTGGTCCATTATAATCGCCATCGTGCAATCGGCGATAAATGGTGCTCATGCATAACGGCTTATTAATCGATCTCAAAGGCGAACCCCTCATCGATCCCACCACTTCACGGTCAACAAAAGGAAAGTTAACTGAAGTTAAACTCTACAACATTTCCACAATCAACGCGCAGAACTACTGCAGCACAGCCCAGCCGTATGTGGACCTAGTTACCCGTTACTTCGAAATCACTCGACCAAGCACGTCTCCTGCAACACACGTCAATAATGACGAAGCGCATTACATCGAGACTCACGTCCCCCCAGCTTTCGACAAGCCATTGGCATGCCGCCAGGCCTGCGAAATGCAGCTCAAAACATCCAAGGTCACTTGGACAACTTATTCCGCGGACTCTCTTTTGTCGGCTGTTACATTGACGACATAATCGTCTACTCCAGTTCCCACGAGGAGCATCTGCAACATCTTTCAACAACGTTTGAAATACTACGCAAAAACCGTCTAAGTGTTGCTAAGTGTTGCCACAGAAATGCCAATTTGGTAAAAGTGAGGTTAATTTCCTGGGCTTCACAGTTACTTCTCAAGGTTTTAAGCCACCAGCCGAGCGCACCCAGGTAATCAGCGACTTTCCGAAGCCCAAATCAATTATGGAGTTGCGAAGGTTTCTCGGAATGATCAACTACTATCGACGGCTCATTCCCCATGCAGCCGAAATGCAAACTCCGCTTACTGAGTATCTTAAAGGCGCAATGAAGAACAACAAGCGTGAAATAGCCTGGACAACTGAGGCAAACAAAGCTTTTAAAAATTTCCCCTACCAAATATGTCAGTGGAGACTGTGGTATCAGCTTTATACACGCCATGGATTTCCCTTTTCGGCACCCCTCTCACCATAACAACAGACCAGGGTATACAGTATGAGTCAGCCTTGTTCGATTAGTTATTAAAATTCATAGGAGCTGAGCGGATTCGAATTACAACTTACCATCTACAATCCAACGGCATGGTTGAGAGATGGCATCGCATCAAGGCAGCGTTAATATGTAATTCACAAATTGCTTGGCCAGAAGAGCTGGTTCCTACAGTTTTGCTGGGACTACGTACAGCCTTAAAAGCTGCCCTGCAATCTTCCCCTGCGGAAATGCTCTTCGGCACGGCACTTCGCCTTCCCAATCACTTTTTCGTGCAGAAAAATGTAATAATTCCCGCTGCTCAAAAGAATTGAAAACATGTACCCACGTTTTGAAACTGGTGGCGTCAGTGAAAAAGCCTCTCGAGCAACCATACAACATTGTCCGTCGCATCGATGACCAGGTCTTCGTCATTAACATAAACGGTGTAAAAAAAGCAATTTCGGTCGACCTACTCAAGCCTGCATTCCTCTCTAACCTCGATCCCCCAAACGACGAAGTTACGCCTTCTTGTCCAGCACCAGACCTGGATGCATCGCAGCCAACGTTATCACCAGCAATGCCGCCTTCACGACCACATGAGCATATCAATCATTCAGCTCATTGTTCAATAAATATAATTTAAATAAATACCTGGTTACTACCACTAACCATACAACATATAGATGCTTCATTTCATACAACGAAAACGTCCCATCAAAATTGTGAGCGACAGCTCCCATAGCTGTTCGGGTATTCGAATGGGAGCTGTCGCACTTCGGCTAACCCGACTGGGAGCTGTCGCATTCGTGCTCCCTGTGAGCGAATTTCATTTCATTCACAGAGAGGCAGTCAACAGCGACGGTCGATCTGTGCCGCTTATGCTCTTTGAATGTGTGCGTGCACATATATATGTACATGTATACATTTATATGTATTTGTTCTTTTGCTGCATTGCGAGCAGTAGCTTCGCTTTTCGTTTTCAGATTTCACCTGCTACATGGGCATGAGAATTTCATACACTGTTGCCTATAAAAGCACACATACATACATATGTGTGTATGTGTGCAAATGTAGTGTTCATATGCAGACAGTAGCCTTGACATTGTCATGACCTACCTCAACTTGTATTTATGCACAAGCAATTATGTTGATCGACTATTTTTGTTTGATTGGCTTGCATATTAATTTAAAAATATTTGGTAAAAATGTCAGTAGGCATTCAAATCAAATTAATTTAAAAATATTTCATTTAATTTAATTTATGTTCTTCTAAAAATGTCAGTTGACAAATTGACCGATATTTTATATGAAAATATGTACATTTAAGGGTTTCAAAATCTTGTAAAATTTTTAAAACTGGTGTAATTAAAAAAATAAAAATACATATATCTTTATATGTATGTATGTATGCACATATTTTTATAATTCAAGAAATATTGTTTTTTCTTTTTTAATTCGCAATTAAATTTTATAATTTATAATAATTTATAATAATTTAATTGGCAATCAACGCACAGCCCAAACGGTAAGAGCTAGGAAGCTGAAATTTGGACACAAGATCCCTCTTATAGTGAAAGTGATCACTAAGAAGAGGTTTCAGAAAATTCGAGCTCCAAAGGGGGGAAAACGAGCTCCAACGTTTGTATGAAAAATCTACAATTTTCATCCAATTAACTTCAAACTTAGTTTGTATACTCTCAAAAAGAATACAAGAAAAACTGTATACGTGGTTTTTCACCATTTTTCCTGGGGCATGAAAAAGGGGGGGGTTTTCCGTGGAAAAATTGAAACACAATCAACACCCCACAGCCCAAACGGTAAAAGCTAGGAAACTGAAATTTGGGCTCAAGTATCCTATCATGGTGTAAATGCGCACTACATACATATGTAACTGTACATATGACACATCGAAAAAAACACCACCTTAAATTGTCCCGCTTTGGCTTTTGAAAAAGTTGGCCGCCTTACGCAAAATGCCAAAAGTTTACAGTTACAGTACACATACAAATACATTTGTGTGTATGTATGTATGTATGTGTACAGTGAACAATCGAGTACAGTATTATAATCAATAACTCTCTAACGATGTTTTTCGATGTATTTGTATTCGACATGTATTACGATATATCAACATCGATATTTTCGATATATCGCATTTAATTTTATTATTGGGGTTTTAATATTTATTCACTTTTTCAAATGAATAGTTTGTGTTATAAATTTTGTCCGATCGATTTCAAATTTGGGTAATGTAATCAACATAACTATATCAACAAATTGGCATTCAACGATTAAAATATAGCAATATGTTTTTTACTTGCCATATATCAAATATCAAATAGTTGGGGACATCACATACACACACTCACACATACATACAACAAGCAACAATTCGTGTCTATGTGTGCCCATGCATACATACATATGTACATGCATATGTATGTATGCCTGTATATGTATGGAGCATGTACATACAAAACAACAACAACAACTGCAAGTCATTGGCTCGCTCTTCTTCTTTCGTTGTCACCATTTAATGTTAATTGTAAAGGCAAAACGCCAAAAGTTTACAGTTACCGTCGCTAGGCAACGACTGCGTAAGCGATAGTAAAGCAGAAACCGAATAACGGAGCTACGCATATTCTGCTTCGCATTGCGGGCAGATGTATGTATGTATATGATTTGTTCTTATTGATGTCAATAAATAATTAGATTTTGTTATTTAAATATTCTGCTTATTGCATTCAAACTTCGATATTTTGATGGTATCGGTGGCTTCAACTATCGAAAGTTTTACTCTAGCAAATTGAGATGAGAATTGTCAGTGCTTTTTGATCGTGGCTCATCGCTGCACGGCATTGACACGAGTGCCGTGTTTCATATTCCGAGGTTGTGCGTGACCGTATTGACTCAATATGGCACGAAAAGGCTCAAATGTGAATTTAAAATTACGAAAACATATGGGTAGGTTATGCACACACAAAATAAATACAATTGGAAACATTATATTGAGCCGGGTTAAGACGGGCAATACCTGCTAGTAATGTATATGAGCAAACATATTAGATCGGTATTCAGGGAACACCACGCTGTGGCCGTAATTCCATCGATACTTACGAAAAATTGAAAACTATCGATAGTATCGATAGTGCCATCGGAATTTTTAATTCATTACAACTCTTTTCTCTTTTATAGAATTCATTTGCTGTGTTCGCATTAAGCCCACATATTTTAATTCCGTCTTTCAATAATAATAATTGCAAAAATTGTAAATTCTTGTTATTTTATTAAAACAGCAAAATGCAAGGTCTAGGTTTACAAAGTCTAAAGAAGAACCCTGCGGTAAGTGTTCAAAATTTTGAGCTGTTCTTGGTATTACATAATCTATTATGAATGCGACCTAAACGTAGTTGATCCCATTGTACGTTTGCGTTGGAGCAGGTGCCATTGGTGCTGTTTATTACATGACTCGCCTTGCCACCAGAAATCCTGATGTAACTTGGAATCGAACCTCCAACCCAGAGCCTTGGCAAGAATATAAAGATAAACAATACAAGGTATTTAAAAACTCCGTTAACTTTATAAGAATTTTTATATTAAGTACATATTAAAATGCATATGGATGTTCGAATATCAAACTAATAATATTATTTATTATTGTAGTTTTACTCCCCCGTGAGAGATTACTCCAAGACCAAGAGCGCGGCTCCTAACTTCGAAGAATAATTCAACAACTTATTCTTATAAATAAGTACATGATTCAAAATACAAATATGTATGTTGTAATGAGTTTGAATTAAAAAGCGTTCATCTCAAAATATCACATAGAAAGCAATTATTTATATTTCGATTCATTCGTCAAGTACCCAACGGACATCCAAAAGGTAAGGAATCTGAAATTCTGGCATCTGTTTCCCTTTATGGTGCGAGCAATTCCAACTACAATTGGTCGATAATGCTTCAATTGTTTTATTTATACCCTGTAATCATAGGGTAAAAGGATATACTACTACTCCTAACCACTATTAATTGGTACGGTTAGATAATTTTCGATAGCGCAACTTTCAATGATTTATATTTCTTTTTAGGTGATCATTGCACAAACGTCATTGAATTACCTTTAATTTAATATCAAAACATGCACGCGTTTCACATAACAATAATGCAAAATTCCAATTTAAATAAGACAACTTTTATAATACACGACTTATTTTTGACCATTATTAATTGGTACGGCTATATTATTTTTTTCAAAAAAATAATACTGAAAAAAGTTAAATGTCAACATAAATGTAAGACTAACTTTATATAAAAAAAAACATATGCTTTGAGTTGAGTAGATAAGTTAGCCAGAGTCAGTTTGTGAGTAAGAGCTTTAATTATAGAAAATTTCAATTTGGGCAACAGCTATAGCGAAGTATTAAAAATCGTATGCTTTCTAAGTCCACGGTACAAAATAAACTGCAATGGTATAGAAAGATTTATAATATTCACAGTAATAAAGCAGTGGTCTAGTCTCAAAAATTACTTCACGTGACAAAAGAAGTTTGTCGCCTATAGTTCAAAATCAGCGATGTACTGTGAGAGATATAGTGGCAAAATGGTCTGAAAATATTGGGAAAACAGTAAAACGTGACAGGAAACGTCAGAAAATGCAAATAACTTTGTAACTAAGGTATGACTGCAGCTCCTGCTGAGCATAACAAATATTAATGTTTTTAGGCCAAAAAAAAACCTTTGCTCACAGCTTTCCAAATAAAACAAGATAGAACACTACATTCGAGCAAGCCCGTCAGTAAAATATCATGTACATACTCCCACAAAAAAGAAAAGAAAATAAAACAACAAATTTTAAAAAATAAATAAACATTTTTTTAAGGTTATTTATTTATTTATTTTTTCATTGACAAACAATGCAGTCGACGTACATCAAAAAAATCAATACAATACAATAGAGAACTTAAAATAAGTAAAACTAAAGAAATAAAAAAGCCTATAAAAATGACAAAAATATCTAATAACGAATCCGACACGGTGGGGGAATTTTATTTGCCAAACGGCCAGCTATGCCCCGATTCACAGCAGAGAGTAGTCAGATACGTTATTAGACCTATCAAAAAAGAAGTGGAGATGAAAAAATATAGCAATAAAAGATAGAAGAAAACAAATTAAAATACTTAAATAATAAAATATAATTAAAATTTAAAGGTGAAGAATCACTGACCCGTTGGGGGAAAATTTATTATCAAGTCCGGCAAGCTATGCCCCTACTCACAGCAGTGGTGATCAGTGATTCTGCCGGAGGTAGTTGAAAATAGAAGATTTTAGTGAGGGGAGAGAGAGTAAAGTATTATAATTAGCGCAGGAAAAGTCTACTGGAGTAGGAAGGTAATCGTAGATTAGGATCCCTGCTTAGACCACGAAGAGCAAAAAGAAGAAATTGTTTCTGAATCGACTCAATGCGATCCTGATACAATTTATACTGAGGACACCAAACACATGAGCAGTATTCTAGCACTGGCCGTACTAGAGAACTGTACAGTAACTTGGTGGTGTAGGGGTCGTAAAATTCTCTGGACCAACGTTTAATGAAACCAAGAACACCCTTAGCTTTGTTAACGATAGTGGAGATGTGAAGATTGAAATTCAATTTGTGATCAAAAAGAACTCCAAGATCTTCAACTGTAAATATACGTTGCAATGGTATATTGTCAATCGCATAAGTACCTTGATATGGTCTGAACCGGTGAAAAGTCATAAACTTGCATTTAGAACAGTTAAGGTGCAGGTGGTTGACCAAGCACCACCGTTGAAAACAGCTTAGATCGTACTGGCGACGAGAATGATAAAGACGATCTTTATACGAAAAAATTAGCTTCACATAATAGGCATACATTAGTATACGGGAGTGCAGCAGGATAGACAGAAGGTCATTAATAAACAGAGTGAATAATAGGGGGCCAAGATGACTACCTTGAGGTACACCAGAAGTTACGAGAACAGGTTTAGAAGTATTCGACCTGAGTAGTACCTTCTGTGTCCTATTTTTTAGGTACGAGGAAATCCATATCAAAAAGTTTGAGAGAAATCTCATACAAGTTAGCTTCAAGAGGAGGAGGTCGTGATTCACAGAATCAAATGCTTTGCTGAAGTCAGTATATATAACATCAGCTTGCATCTTTGCTAGGAATGCATCATTTATCAAAGATGTAAATTCAAGCAGATTAGTCGTTGTTGACCGATTTTTAAAAAATCCATGCTGAGCAGAGGAGATTACAGACTTACAATGATGCTGTAAAGAGGACGTAATTATTTTTCAAATAATTTAGGAATGGCAGAAAGTTTAGCAATGCCTCTATAGTTGGAAATGTCTGACTTACAGCCCTTTTTGTGGAGTGGTATAATAAACGATTCTTTCCAAGAAGCAGGAAAGAATCCGCTCTCAAGGGACAGATTAAAAAGCTTAAGCAACGGTTTGCAGAGGGAAGTACATGACGATGGCAAAGTCGAAGATTTTCGCTTAGAATTTACGAAGTTATAGAACTTTTTAGGGTCATGTTTAAATTGGAGCTTGCAACGATCAAGATAATTTGTGTAACACAAGGAGTTTAAAAGAAGAAAATTAATTTTGCAATACAATATTTAAAGAAGTCAACACCTAAGCCCGACTGCTTGAACTTTTTAAAACATCTGGATTTTATGTTTTTTAGGCGACACTAGGCGACACTATTGGGAACACAGACATCGAAGATAGAATACATGGTGTCATAAAAAAATTTTGAAGCAACATCTATATTATCAGAGCAATACAAGAAAGACCAATTAGCATTAGAAATCAATCACATTTGCGAAAGCATTTGCGAGGCATGTTACACTCAGAAGACCATGCACTAGATCTAGAAAAGGGAAGACAAATTTCTAGAGTAGGATGATAAATATCTTCAGGCAGTGTTAAAGGAGAAGATCTAGAAACAACAACATTAGTGATGTCATTAACAAACACCAAATCGAGATATCTATTAAGGTGATTGTATATTGGATTAATTTGAACTAAAGAGAGTTCAAGAAGGCAATGCAAAAAGTCATGCTTTGACGAAGGAATAAGGTCAGGGGAACTATTAAAGAAAGACCAAGAAATGCTTGGTTATTAAATTAAATATAAATATTCAATACATTTGTACATAAGTGGAGCCTATCTTTGTGTACAGTTTCAAAAGCATTCATTGACATCAGAATCGTGTTTCTGCGTGTTTATATGCGTGTATGCATGTAGTACAAAATTGAACCAAAGCAGCAACAACAGCAGCTGCGGCCAGCGCTTGTGCAGAGATTAAATATGTATATGGCCATAAATTACTCTATAATTGACCTATTATGATGAAACATACGTACACCTAATCAGTAACTGGATGTAATTACTAAATTTTAGTGAAAAATTCCAAGAACTACCGGAGTTATGGAAAATCACTAATTGCGGCAGAGTAGTGATTCAGGAAAAAAAAAAAACAAACTCGTCCTTTCTCGGACTCAGGAGAATCTGTATTGGGAGTTCTATCTCTTATACTTTCTGAGATACTTGCGTTCATACAGACGGACGGACAGGTGGACAAGGCTATATCGACTCGGCTTGCCACCCTGATCAACAATATATATACTTCTTTCTGTGTGTTACATACATTCGCACAAAACTAATATACCATTTTACCCTTTGCACTATGGTCCCACAGCGGCATAAAATCCAAAAATTTCTGAAAATATTTTTGGGATATAAATACAATTTCAATAAATAGACACCCCAATTAGAACACAGTTTTTTTTTGAGCTTTGTTGCAACCCTGTTAATTTGGCACTCTCATGAACTTAGCTGATCGGTGACAGCCCTGGCATTTGCAAAGTGGAGGAAACTTTTTGTCAACTTTCGCTTATCATGAAAGTGGTTCTATTTGTGTAAAAATAAAAGTATACTGTAAGTATGGAAAGCAAAGATCATGGTATGTAGAATCAATTTCTAAGCCGTATCGTGACGTCATTGTATGTGTGTTCGTGTTATCCAGTATTTTGTGTGTGTCTATTTAGCAGGAATGTATAACAAAAGTAATTGTGTTTTGTGGAGTATTACTTTCGTAGAGCGCGTCAGAGCGTGGAGCGAAAGCAAAAGGAAAAAGAAGAGCGAACTTGATGCTGCAGTTTGTAGGCACAGTACTGGTCTGAAATTGTTTCGCTAATAACTTATCTATAAATTGATCGATTTCGAATAAACTTAAAACAAAGCTAGACACTTGTAAATAGAATCCGCTTGAAAAGTTTTGTTTATGTAGCTTTTGAAATGTGGACAGTATTGACAATATTCTGTATAGGAGAGAGAGGGGAGGGGGGAATATTAAAAAAATAAAATAAACTATTTTGTAACTGAAATATATTGCACTGGAGAGAATTATAGGCCAATTCCTGTTTGGTACGGCAAAAAATACCAAAGTTAGTAAAAGTCGGCCATATCGGTTATATGGCAGCTATATGATTTAGTGGCCCAAACTAAAGGGTCAGGGTCATAAAGGGCCAAACTATGCGTACAAACTAAATTTGGGGCAAATATCTTATCGAATTTATGCCAAAAAATGTGGATTTGGGACCATAGTGCTTTCGGTAAAGGGTATAAATATTTTTCTTTTTACTAAAAAAAAATTGTATAGCCGGACACTCCGCGGTTGCTTAGTTTCATAAAGCCACTTCTAATGTTAGAGAAAACAGTGAAACACAGTTTCCGGAGCAATTCTGTGACCGACAGATGTTTCTCAGAAAGAAAAACTGACTGAACACAGATTTGCTTTCTC